GGTCTCCTCTGTGTTGTACAGGGTTTCTGTGTGTTGGTCTCCTCTGTGTTGTACAGGGTTTCTGTGTGTCTCCATCAATGTTGTAACAGGCCTATCTCACTCTCGCGATCTCATTTTGTCATATTGCGCTATCGTGCTCTCAAGATATCATTTTATCATATTGCCCTATCACATTTTCGCGATATCATTTTAACATATTGCGCTATCAAACTCTCGTGATATCATTTTATCATATTGTCCTATCACACTTACACGATATTATTTTATCATATTGCCCAAACACAAATGATATCACTTTGTCATACTGCCCAAACACACTCTCGATATCACTTTTTCATATTGCCCTATCACCCTCTCACGATATCACTTTTTCATATTGTTCTATCACACTCACATAACATCACTTTTTCATATTGTTCTATCACACTCACACGACATCACTTTTTCATATTGTTCTATCACACTCACATCACATCACTTTGTCACATTGCTTTATCACACTCACGATATCTCATTGCTATTTTGCCCTATCACACTCACGATATCATTTTAACATATTGCGCTATCAAACTCTCGTGATATCATTTTATCATATTTTCCTATTACACTTACACGATATTATTTTATCATATTGCCCAAACACAAATGATATCACTTTGTCATACTGCCCAAACACACTCTCGATATCACTTTTTCATATTGCCCTATCACCCTCTCACGATATCACTTTTTCATATTGTTCTATCACACTCACATAACATCACATTTTCATATTGTTCTATCACACTCACACAACATCACTTTTTCATATTGTTCTATCACACTCACATCACATCACTTTGTCACATTGCTCTATCACACTCACGATATCTCATTGTTATTTTGCCCTATCACACTCACGATATCACTTTGTCACATTGCTGTATCACACTCACATGACATCACTTTGTCACATTGCACTATCACACTCTCACGATATCACTTTGTCATATTGCCCTATCACACTCTCACGATATCACTTTTTCATATTGTTCTATCACACTCACATGACATCACTTTTTCATATTGTTCTATCACACTCACATAACATCACTTTGTCACATTGCTCTATCACACTCACGATATCTCATTGTTATTTTGCCCTATCACACTCACGATATCACTTTGTCACATTGCTGTATCACACTCACATGACATCACTTTGTCACATTGCACTATCACACTCACACGGTATCACTTTGTCATATTGCCCCATCACACTCACATGATATCACTTTGTCTTTTGCTCTATCTCACTCAAACGATATCACTTTGTCATATTGCTCTATCCATTCACGCGATATCACTTTGTCATATTGCCCTAGCACATTCACATGCCCTCATTTTTTCATAGTACATTATCACACTCACACGATATCACTTTGTCATATTGCTATATCACACTCAAACGATATAACTTTGTCATATTGCTCTTTCACACTCACACGATATCACTTTGTCATATAACTCTATCACACTGACATGACGGGAGTGTGGTGGTTGAGGGCATTCGTTCCAGGAACAGCGTTCCTTTGCCCAACACACCACTTCGCCCTTTAGTTCACCTAGACCGGTGGTTGAATGGGCCCGGTTGAACTGCAAGTTGAACTGTACATCCCAAATCCGTTGAGGTGCTTTAAATGTCAAAAATTTGGTCACGGAATCAATTCTTGCTTAAATCCTATAACTTGCGCTCATTGTGGAGAGCAATCACTCGTGACAGAAGACTGTGAAAGCAACTATAAAAAATGTGTCAACTGTTCTGGCAAGCATTCGTCATCATCAAAAGATTGCCCAGTATGGAAGAGGGAAATGGAGGTAAGTAAATTAAAGCATACTCAAAACATTATCTATGCTGATGCGAAGAAACTCGTACCATCCTTCAATCAAGTGAGTCTTATGCTTCAGTTACCTAAAGAACATCTCTGACTGCAGCCTCAGTTGAATGTCAGACGGACTTAACATGGACAAAATCAACCTCTCCGGAACTTGTCCCGAAAGAAGACCTTGCACATCGAGGAGAATTTGCTACACAGACTGACTTGTTACCAGCTTCACTGATGTCATCTCAATCTCGATCCGTGCCTTCTTCACAGATACAATCAGATAACAGGAAAACTAACAGTGAAACATAAAACAGGTTCCCGTTCCTCCAAAACTGTAGATGAAACTCCAGTTAAACAAACTGTAAAAAGAAATCAAAAGTTAAACAGAATCAATCAAGTGATAGACTTGCTAAGGGTTCCAAAGATGAGATCCAGCTTTATAACAAGTTTAGATCCCTCGAAGATATGGATGTATCTGAACACATCCATCATCGGACGGGGAGATTATCGCCTACAAAGTCGGGGCGTGGTAGGTCGCCAATAAGTGCTCCCAAGTCATGAATCATTCGCTAAATATAATACAGTGGAATTGTAGAGGACTTAGAAATAATTTTTGGTTCAGGATTTTAAACCGTTGGCACTCTGTCTCCAAGAGACCTACCTTAAACACACTGACACATTTGATTTAAGGCAGTACAAATGTCATCATTCATTTTCTCCTCCAGGGGATAAAGCGACTGGAGGATCCACTACATTAGTAAGACAGAATATCATCCATAGTGGTGTTCATCTAAATACAAATCTTCAAGCCATTGCTATTCGGCTTACTTTGCACATTACTTTTACTTTGTGTTCTTTGTACATTCCACCGTCATCTGCTCTTCTGCAATCTGATCTTCAGATTCTGTATGATCAGCTACCTAAGCCCTGCATTATCATGGGCGATTTGAACGGGCACAACCTTCTATGGGGAAGTACAAGTACAAGCAATAAAGGCAAGGTCATTGAGGATTTTATTTCTGATAATGTATAATGTGTGTTTAATGATGAATCAAGCACCTATATACACATATACACCCTGCTACAGGAACCTATTCTTCCCCTGATCTGTCTCTTGTAGATTCGAATGTTTACAACGAATTTGAATGGTCTGTTCATGATGACCCTTGTGGAAGTGATCACTTCCCTACTGTCCTAAAAGCTATCATACCGGGTGATGATCCACCTTTATCACGTTGGAATTTTCCGAAGGCCAACTGGGCCTTGTTTGAAACAGTGTGTGGCGAAAAATTAACACCGGACAATTTTAAAAACGTATCAGATCCCATACATTTGTTCTCCACTCAGCTGAATGAAATTGCTGAACAAACAATTCCTAAGTCCTCTACAAGTCCTCATATTCGTAAACCATGGTTTAACATTGAATGCAAACAAGCCAGGAAATGTAGGAAGAAGGCAGAAAAATATTTTCGCTGACATCCTACAGCTCATAATTTGAATTTGAAAGGCACGCCGGGCATATAAACAAAACAAGCGCCAATCTTGGATAAACTATGTCTCCAAAATTAATTAGCGCACACCCATGACTAAGGTGTGGAACATGGTTCAGAGAATAAAAGGTAAAGGTTCAAAATCTGCTGTTCACCATCTTAAAGATGGTGACAACTTAATAACTGACATATGTAACATTGCAAATAAACTTGGCGAAACTCTTGCCAAAAATTCTTCATTGGCAAGTTATGTCCCTGAATTTCAGAAATATCAGAAACAACAGGAAAAGACAAACTTAATTTTGATTCCAATAACGGTGAAGACTACAATGAAGTGTTTTCATTGCATGAGTTATATACAGCTCTTGAGCAAGCTCATGACACAGCAGCGGGTGATGACAATATCCATTATCAGACACTGAAACACTTGCCTGAACCATGTCTGGTCACACTTTTAGATATATTTGACCAAATATGGACGTCTGGAAATTTTCCTACTTCGTGGCGTAATGCCATAGTAATTCCAATACCAAAACCTGGCCGGGATCATACTGATCCGTCTAATTATAGACCAATCTCTTTAACGAGTTGTGTCTGTAAAACCATGGAACGAATGGTAAAAAATAGTTTAACTTGGTATCTTGAAACCAATAACCTTATAACAAATATTCAATGTGGTTTCAGAAAAAATCGTAGTACCATTGATCATTTGGTACGCTTAGAATCCTTTGTTAAGAATGCTATAGTAACTAAACAACATGCTGTATCAATTTTCTTTGATCTTGAGAAAGCTTATGATGCTACCTGGAAGCATGCCATTTTGAAGGATTTACATGATTTTGGTTTGAGAGTCCGTTTGCCTCTTTTTATATCACAGTTTTTAAAAGACAGGCAATTTCAAGTCCGAGTGGGTTCAACCCTGTCTGACCATTACAATCAGGATCAGGGTGTCCCTCAAGGCAGTATTTTGTCTGTCACTTTATTTAGTGTCAAGATCAACAGTTTATCCAAGGTTTTAAACGATTCAATCGATGGATCACTTTTTGTGGATGATTTTAATATTTCTTGTCGTGGTAAAAATATGCATACTATTTAACGACAATTGCAGTTGTGTTTAAATAAAATAAATAAATGGTGTCTTGAAAACGGCTTTAAATTTTCTAAGTCTAAAACTAATTGTCTACACTTCTGTAGAAAACATAAGCCGCATAAAGACCCGGAACTATCTTTAAATGGCACTGTAATCAAAGTTGTCAAGGAGGCCAAGTTCTTCGGTCTAATTTTCGGCTATCATTTAACTTTTTTCCCGCATATTAAATCCCTTAAAGCTAAATGCCTGAAGGCCCTTGATTTGTTGAAAGTTGTTTCCAACTCAAAGTGGGGAGGGGATCAAACTACCCTCCTCCACCTATATCGATCATTGGTCCGCTGGAAACCTGATTATGGCCCCATCGTATATGGTGGAGCCTGCAAAAGCAACCTAAAACTGCTTGATTCTGTCCACCACCAAGGCCTAAGAGTTTGTCTTGGGTCTTTTAGAACCTCTCCTATTGATAGTCTCTATGTTGAGGCTGATGAGCCATCCCTTAACCAACGTCATATCAAATTATCTTTACAGTATCTAACAAAACTCTATTTTAACGAGTCCAATCCTGCATTTAACTGTGTTTTCAATCCTCTTTATGAGGATTTATACAACAAAAAGCCTTCTCTCTTCTCTAAGAATTAAACCATTCATTTCTGCTGCCGGCATTGAGCTGGAAAATATATCTCCTTCCCGTCTTCTTTCTTCTCCTCCTTGGTAACTGGAGAGGCCTGAAGTTGACCTAACTCTGACAAAGTTTAAGAAATCTTAAACTACTGAATTACAATATAAACAAGAATATAATCAATTAAAAAATACGTACAAATCCTTACTTACAGATGGGTCCAAGGATGGTGGCGCGGTGGCATGTGCCACTGTCATTAGATCCAGAACAATAACTTCTCTACTACCAAAAAACAGCTCTATTTTCACAGCAGAAGCTAACGCCATATTAACTGCTCTTAAATATATTAATACACACCGTAAATATAAACATTACATAATCTTTTCAATTCTCTTTCGTGTCTTTAGGCTATTAAAAATCTTTCTTGTAAACATCCACTTTTATTAGAAATTATTGAATTGTATAATGAGCTTGCTACTGGCCAATGCGACATCGTCTTTTGTTGGTTACCCAGCCACGTTGGCATTTCTGGGAATACAATGGCTGATCTTGTTGCCAAGGCAGTACTCAATAAATATGTGACACCACTTCTTATTCCATACTCTGATTACAAAGCTAGCATTAGAACCTACATCCATGATCTGGTGCAAAAGAAGTGGGACACCCAAGTAGGTATTAACAAATTACATGAAATAAAACCCTATATCGGTTACACTTACTTGGGTTGTCAGTTAAGGTTTGAAGTGGTCATCATACGACGATGTCGTATTGGCCACACAAGATATACTCATGCATACCTATTGAAAGGTGATGATCCTTCGTTTTGTATCCCTTGTGATGAGAGAACCACGGTCAAGCATGCCCTGCTTGACTGTGTTGAATTCTCCATCATAAGGGATAAATATTTCAATATACAAACTGTAAAGGACCTTTTTAACAAACTTAATTATCATTTAATCATTGATTGTTTAAAAGAGATAGATTTGTTAAATGAATTTTGATATATGTTTTGTAAATAGATAAAGTTTTATAATTGGTAGTTCAGATTATCAACTTAGATTGTTAGTGGCTGTATCCTCAAAGGGGGTTGAAGTAGCGTAAAATTATTGTCCTCCTGAGAGGGTACCTAAGTTCCAAAAATTTCAAAGTCAATTGAAAATTAACAGGATTTTTAAACGTAGTATTCTTGTTATTTTAATTTTGGCTAACATTGCTTACAATCGCCAACAGCTGAAGGGATGGTGTAAATCCATCTAGGGTCCATGCAGGTAGCAAAGGTACTGTAAGTCCCCACGGTCCCTGGTATGGTGATCTACCTTCAGTTGTTGGCGATCTATAGCCTGTTTTTATATTGTATAGTCCAAATAGTGCTATCAGTTTAACTTTCCACACACTAGTTTTAGTTGTAATTGTGATATTCTAGTTGTTTTACTGTCCTTCGTCGACAGGTTTTTATAATATACATATATTCCATTTCAATATGTTCTCGTCACGATATGGCTGAAATATTGCCGATGTGACGTTAAATAATAACTCACTCACTCACTTTGCCCTATCACACTCACATGATATCACTTTTTCATATTGCTCTATCACACACACACACGATGTCACTTTTTTATATTGCTCTATCACACACACACGATGTCACTTTTTTATTTTGCTCTATCACACTCACATGCCATCACTTTTTCATATTGCCCTATCGCACACACACGACATCACTTTTTCATATTGCTGTATCACACTCTCACGATATCACTTTTCATATTGCTCTATCACACTCACACGACATCACTTTGTCATATTGCTCTATCACCCTCACACGACATCACTTTGTTATTTTGCCCTATCATACACACACGATATCACTTTGTTATTTTGCCTTATCACACTCACACGATATCACTTTGTCATATTGCTCTATCACACTCACACGATATCACCTTGAAACATGATGAATATCATGTGTCATATATTTGAGTATAATAAGAAAGCCTTGGCATACAATATCCTCTTGTTAAGCTAAACGTGTAAGGATGGTCTTCTACATAATACACGTGTGGATGAAGTGATAAATGTTTTATTGTGAACATCAGAGATAGGTTTGTCAGAGATTAACCATCCAAGCAGTACATTCCGCGACAGATGAACATTTAAATCACCGATACGGTGAGCAACACAGACAGCAGGGATAACATCGGGGATAGGTTTGTCAGAGATTAACCATCCAAGCAGTACATTCCGCGACAGATGGACATTAAATCACCGATATGGTGAGCAACACAGACAGCAGGGATAACATCGGGGATAGGTTTGTCAGAGATTAATTATCCAAGCGGTACATTAAATCCGCGACAGATGGACATTAAATCACCGATACGGTGAGCAACACAGACAGCAGGGATAACATCGGGGATAGGTTTGTCAGAGATTAATTATCCAAGCAGTACATTCCGCGACAGATGGACATTAAATCACCGATACGGTGAGCAACACAGACAGCAGGGATAACATCGGGGATAGGTTTGTCAGAGATTACCCATCCAAGCAGTACATTCCGCGACAGAAGGACATTAAATCACCGATACGGTGAGCAACACAAACAGCAGCTTGGTACTGACGGTTGTTAGAATGTTCATAGAACCGGAAGTACAATCATTAGGTTCAGCGTGCGTGTCATATGTCGCCAGTATCCTGGCCGGGCCGCCACTTCCACCAAATAGCTTAATTATACCAACAGTTATAGACGCCCCCTTCTCGGGGATTTGACTGATGCGTGCCACATTTTCTAAACCTGGAATGTTATTCCTTCCAAGAATTTTGTGTACTTTGAAATCGGTTGACTGACCGTAGTCCAAGGAGGGGGTGTCGACCCCAACCATGCTGACGTTTCTATTGGCAACCATCCAAGCAATGGCGTCTTCGTGGTACCCCGGGAAATGGAAAGTCGATATATTGTTGGGGGTATCAGTGTTAAAAACACGGCTTCTGTTTGGAAAGCGAGATTCCCATCCAGAATTCATGATGACGATGGCACCGAGGGGGATTCGACCGTGTTTTCTTTCATACGCCTCAAAATCGGATTGGGTGACTCTGTAATCTGGATCCGCTTCCGCTTGTGACGTCACATCTAGGATTACGGTTGGGCCAATCAGACGGTCTGCTGGAATCTCATCTGCCCTCCACCCACCCTCGAAGAAATGGGATGGGGCGTCCAAATGTGTGCCACCGTGCTCGGGGGTAGAAAACCAGTTACTCTGATAGCTGAAAGGAGAAGTGAGATTCAAATACATATCAACGTACTGTTTCAAACAGGCAGCAGTACGTCATCGGGATATAGAACGCCTTGTGGATCGTACGCATACTGACATAGCGAAAGGTCCGTGGTTAAACCCCCGCTCCATCGTCCCAAAGAGGTTAAATGATGTGTGTATGTGCGTGTGTGTGTGTGTGTGTGTGCTGGTGGGTGGGTGGGGGTATGTGTGTACGTTCGCGTGCGTGTGTGTATAGTATGTAGGTATGTTCATATATGTATGTATCCGTCTGTATGTATGTACGTAAATTTCTTTTAACTATTTTATTCACTTTCTATATTTTATATATATGCATATATATACAATGTATATACATCTATTCAAGTAATCTAGTGTCTCGTAGGCCAATTGGCCGGGTGCTGTATTTAATGCATTATAATCAGGACTATAAATTCTGTAACACTTTCTTCTTCTTCTTCATTATTTTCACCCTGGTTGATGCTAATAAGGCGGAAATTCGAGTACGTTTTTGTGGTTTTATTGCTATTTTACAAACTTTTTGTTCAATTTTAATCACGGAAGGTTTTTATATTTTACAATATATCAAAAGTTTTGTTTTCTTTCGGATTCTCCTTTAAGCAGATAACTCATCAAGAACCGTTAGACTGTGGTCTGTGTACCCTGTTTTAAGTGGATGTAGGTGTATTTTAACTCAATGCAGTAAGTTTTAAGCATCGTTTATTATTATATTATTGTTCTTTATATCACATTATTGTTAAATCGTAGGTTTTAATCAACTAAGTTTCCAACATCTTGGACAATTGGTCACATTGTTCCATTGCATAAGGAAGGGAATTCTACTTATCCTGTTAGGTTTAACGATATTGGGTGTTTGGGATGTTTTGCTACATATTCATTAGGGCAGTAACGAGGCATCAAACTATCGATGGATTGTTGAGTGTCCGATAGCAATTAATCGATGGTAGAAACCAAAAACTATCGATGCATCAATAGTATGTGTAACTATATGTTGAAATGTTTATGATGATACTTATTGTTACATTCTGATGTCCCCGCCGTGATATTGTTGGAATATTGCTAAAAGCGGCGTAAAACCCAACTCACTCACTCACTTATTGTTACACCTTCTGCTGTGTTTTAGAATAACCAAAAAAACAGTTTTGAGGAAAGGGGCCTTTTGTTGGTCCATTTTATTCGCTCATGGATGAAAGTGTTTGAGATTTGGGTGATATATTAACACTATAAAGTAGGTTGAATTATGTTTCCTGATACTGGTAGACACATGCGTATTTGCAACAACAAAACGTACCATATGTTTCAAGCTGGGAAAAATATGCTCGCTCATGGGCCAGTAAAATCCCTTGCAGGAAACTGGCCACGGTGCGGAGAGTGTATGGACAAATGGGTTTCTAGATTTAAAATGGGGTAAAGATAATAACTGTATATACAGGCGTTTCAGCCTTGAGTCAGATCTTAGTACTGTTTGCTTATCTAGACTTGTCTAAAAGTATAGAATCACAATATACCCACGGGCTTAACATTCAGGACAGCATTGGAGCAAGTTTGTAGCAACAACATCACAGTTGATGTCAGTTTATAATGGGCGCCTTTTCCACTGGATATTTCCTGAAGTACGTAATTGCCAGCAATCAAGTCAGCAATGGAAAAGTGTTATCTCAAAGTTAGATTTGACCACTTTCTAAAAGGCAGTGTTTTGCATCTGTTTTGAGGACATAACATTAGTTATGAGAGGGGAGTGTTAAAAATATACTTTGGGGTCTGTAGGAAAGACAAGCTCTCTCAAAGGATACATGGAACATTCTACGAATCAACATCAAAGAACCCACAAATCCAGGTTTTAGACAAGAAAAACAGTTAAAATTTTAATTGCTTTAATTTCCAGAATGAACGCCTCTCCAGGTCACCATTGTTTATCTGAGAACGTTCAAGGTATGACATGAATACAGAGCTTACCCAGAGCTATAATCCGAAACACTGGTGAAATTGAATGGCAGAGATCCTGGCCAGTAGACGGTTGACGGACCAACTGTCCAGGTAAGGTCAACCACTTGCATGTGACCACTGACGGAAGACAGGAGTACAGAAACTAACACCAGGTGAGAGCCCGCCATGCTGTCTGTGTGTTGTCCTTCTGTCGGCTGCGACTGCGTACTGCGATGAGATCCACGGCAGTTTGTTGCAGTGAATGGGGACACCTGACTGTGCTTGCGTCTACTGTTCTAGGTATAGGTTCAGTCGGCCATGGTAGATGGCTAAACAATGGGGGGATTATCTATTGTCCGTTCCAGTAAAGAAGACTTGAAAAATAAGAAAAACTCCTAAAATATTGTGTACACATTGTACACATGCATGCATATATTAATAACATACATAACATAATATTTAGGAATATTACTGAATGAGTCAAACCATGCTCATTCACTGGTGTACCCCCAGCTTGCCAGCAGCCAGCAGGGTGAGGTAAGGTGAAATTGGGTTTAACGTCGTGCTTGAGAATATTTCGCTCGTATGACGACGTGCATGCGTGTGTATGTGTATGTGGGGCTGCTTGTACTACCCCAGACTTAAGCTGGGTTTTTTTATAGTGCTAGCCCACTGAGATACCATGCCGCAGTGAAGCATGAATACCCTACTCAGACACATTATACTGACTCCGAGCCGACCAGTCCTTGTTGTACCCATTACTGCCGAGCGCCAGGCAGGGACCAACAAGTACCATATTTTAACGTCTTTTGGAATGAATATTTTCCATCATGAATATTACCTTCCTTACTCTAAATATTAAATATGGCTCCGTCGTTAATAGTATCCTCCTTACTCTAAATATTAAATATGGCTCCGGCGTGAATAGTACCTTCCTTACTCTAAATATTTAATGTGGCTCCGTCGAGAATAGTACCTTCCTTACTCTAAATATTAAATGTGACTCCGTCGAGAATAGTACCTTGCTTACTCTAAATAGTAAACATGGATCCGTGGTGAATAGTACCTTCCTTAACTCTAAATATCAAATATGGCTCTTGTCATTGTTTAATGTATCTGAAAAACTGAATTGTGTCCAGTGGTGTGCTTTAGGCTATGTAGTTTGATAGTGATTCATAAACACATGCTCATGATATAATCACATCAAACGCCGACTCTGCCTTAAGAAGAGATCTCTCATGAATATGGAAAAGGTATTGTCGCTTTTATACTTTCCCATTGAGGGTTTCTAAATTCAACTCAAGAAACATTTGCATCATTATCGTGTTCTCACTTGCATTATTATCGTATACCCATTTACATTCCCCCTTGTTATTCCATCCAAGAACTGGATATAATGGTGAACAGATGTACCAGGCGGTCCGCAAATTGTATTGTATCAAACATTGGTATTTGGCAGTAACATTGATGGTTTCCCAACCTGAACTCTAACAACATTTGACAAACAATTGTCAGGGATGAAAAAGTAATTCATATTAACTCCTGAATAATATATTCCCTTGATAACGTCAATACGTGTGTTATGCTCATGGTAGAGTCACAATTGTACAACCGACTCTGCTTTTAGCAGAGATTTCTTATGAATGTGGAAAGGGTTTTGTCGCTTCTATTTCCAAATGCGTAGAGACACATTGTATGTCATGTGAAACATACGTCAGCATTATTTACCATGACAATGGTGGTATATTGTAAACAAACCTTGCGTGGGCATTGAAACTAAATGTATAGGTACGTGTCTTTCAATCCAGACAATATTTCAAAATATTTACATAGCGTGGATGGTTACTTTTCAATTCTTGTCACAATAACTATAGAGAGAGCACACGGTTTTTAAAGCTTGTTGCCATGAGCTACAGACAAGCTAGATTGATATGTACCTCAGATATATACTAGGCACATAAAGAAACTGTGCATACAAAAATTTAAAATCTACATTTATCAAACCTGTGTAGACACATAAGGATTTAAACTCAGAGATTAGTGACATGTATCCAACATGCATGCACGTGCCACGTTCCGTGACGTCAGTGGGTTCGTCCTTGAGACGTGCAATACGTTGTTGCACGTGCATTCCGGGAAAGAGAAACAGAGCAAATGAATGCCACACAATACTGTCACTTTGGAAAGCTCAACCCCTGCCCTTGCGATCGTTCACAAAATTAAACGGCTATTGAAACGCATAGCATGCCAAGGCTTACGTCTGCACAACGTCATGAGGCCATTGGGGTGGTCCGTGGGGGAATGTCTCAACGACAAGTGGCTGCACATTTCCACTGACACCGGAACACCATTTCTGCATTGGTGAGACGCAACCAGAACACAAATGACGTCATCGATCGGCCACGTTCTGGACGTCCACGTGTAACAACGCCAAGACAGGACAGATGGATAAGGGTGACCCATCTTCGCCACAGGTTTCAGACTGCAGTGATGACTGCCAGAACCATCCCAGGACTTCGCCGTATCCACCCCAACACAGTTCGACAACGTTTACGTCATCACGGGATCAGACCACGACGTCCCGCCATACGGCCTATCCTGACACAACGTCATCGACAAGCTCGCCGAATGTGGTGCCGAAATCATGTCCGCAGACCCTTGTTTTGGTTGAGAAATGTTGTTTTTACAGATGAGTCCAGGTTTAACATTTCCCATAGTGATGGACGTCAACGTTCCTATAGACGCACGTTATATTGCCCTCTCAAGTCAAACAGATCAGTCAGTAATAAATCTAATAATATATACAGATCGGACAAGCAGTAAGGATTACCCTCATTAGTAACACAGATCAGTCAGTGATAAATCTAATAATATATACAGATCGGACAAGCAGTAAGGTTTGCCCTAATTAGTAACACAGATCAGTCAGTAATAAATCTAATAATATATACAGATCGGACAATCAGTAAGGATTACCCTCATTAGTAACACAGATCAGTCAGTGATAAATCTAATAATACATACAGATCGGACAAGCAGTAAGGAGTGCCCTCTTTAGTCAAGCAATAAGGATTGCCCTCTCAAGTCAAACAGATCAGTCAGTGATAAATCTAATAATATATACAGATCGGACAAGCAGTAAGGTTTGCCCTCTTTAGTCAAGCAATAAGGATTGCCCTCTCAAGTCAAACAGATCAGTCAGTGATAAATCTAATAATATATACAGATCGGACAAGCAGTAAGGTTTGCCCTCTTTAGTCAAGCAATCAGGATTGCCCTCTCAAGTCAAACAGATCAGTCAGTGATAAATCTAATAATATATACAGATCGGACAAGCAGTAAGGAGTGCCCTCTTTAGTCAAGCAATAAGGATTGCCCTCTCAAGTCAAACAGATCAGTCAGTGATAAATCTAATAATATATACAGATCGGACAAGCAGTAAGGTTTGCCCTCTTTAGTCAAGCAATAAGGATTGCCCTCTCAAGTCAAACAGATCAGTCAGTGATAAATCTAATAATATATACAGATCGGACAAGCAGTAAGGTTTGCCCTCAAAGCAATAAGCAATAAGGATTGCCCTCTCAAGTCAAACAGATCAGTCAGTGATAAATCTAATAATATATACAGATCGGACAAGCAGTAAGGTTTGCCCTCTTTAGTCAAGCAATAAGCAATAAGGATTGCCCTCTCAAGTCAAACAGATCAGTCAGTGATAAATCTAATAATATATACAGATCGGACAAGCAGTAAGGATTGCCCTCTTTAGTCAAGCAATAAGGATTGCCCTCTCAAGTCAAACAGATCAGTCAGTGATAAATCTAATAATATATACAGATCGGACAAGCAGTAAGGAGTGCCCTCTCAAGTCAAACAGATCAGTCAGTGATAAATCTAATGATACATACAGATCGGCCGATACGAGCAGTTAGGATTACCATCTTTTCTCAGATCAAATAATTTTGATTACTCTCTGTCGATCAGTCGAACGATAACTGTTCCACTGACAATGTAAACAAACTAGTAAATTAGTAATGACTGACTGAATAACATAGACATCCGCGGACGTCTATAACAGGAAGGACTATATCTTCAGTCCATAATGCTTGCTGTGGAAGCAGATACAAACACACCTCAGGTACTCAGATCCTATTTGATTGCGTGCCACATGTTCATGCTATTAGCCCCTGACGTGCCTCATAAGTAATATACCACCCCGGTGCACCTGGAAAACTCACTCACTCAAGCAGACACAATATCTCAACGGTGCTTTTTACAACGCAGGGCGACAGACCGGCGAGGTTAAATCCTATTTTTGGTTTCAAGTGACCAGAATAGAAACTATCTCAGACACAAAAACGCAAAGAATATATAGGGCACGAGATAAACTTCCTTTACAGAACAATGCCAATTAACTGATTTGTTCTCTTCACACATTATTTATACATGGTATTGTGTGCACATTATCTGGCTTGCAACAGACACGAGAAATCGTAGTGTTGTCATACCGGATGTAGATGATAGACGGGAACTACTCGGAATTTTAGTGAGTGTGAGTGAGTGAGTTTAGTTTAACGCCACACTTAGCAATATTCCATATGGCGGCGGTCTGTAAATAATCGAGTCTGGACCAGACAATCCAGTATGAGCATCGATCTACGCAACTGGAAAACGATGACGTGTCAACCAAGTCAGCGAGCCTGACCACCCGATCCGGTTAGTCGCCTCTTACGACAAGCGTTGGTTACTGAACATCAGTTCTAACCCGGATCTTCACGGGTTCGGACATTTTATGTGAAGTTATCATTGGGTTTCAATAGTTATGACTTGCATATTCTTACAACATCAACACCGACAAAAATAAAGCCTTTATTGAGTATAAAAAATATACATTTGGGTTGTGCGTCAATAGATTATCGTATTGTGAAAAAATATCATTATGAATATTATTTGATAGATGGACTATGACTATATATATTTAGATTGTATAGGTATTGCCAAGCGAAATAAATGCTTCAGCAGAGAGTTAATGAGAAACTGTTTATATTGGTTACTTACTTTTGCATGAGGTGAATAATTAGCAACGTAAACTGTTTGAGTTTCATAATGTATCCAACTCGGAAAAACATCAAAGCAACATCTAAAAATACGGCACTACGCGCCACTGCACAGACGCCATTTTACATGCGCCAGCATACACATATATGATCATAAAAGAGGCAGTGTTCATGCAGCCTTGCATATATACTGTATACATCACACACATGTACATCCATCAACCTTATTGTTTGCCAGCAATAAATATGTGGCGGAGTATTATATCGGGTGTGTGCGTGCGTGTGCCTCTGTGTGTGTGTGTGTGTGTGTGTGTGTGTGTGTGTGTGTGTGTGTGTGTGTGTGTGTGTGTGTGTGTGTGTGTGTGTGTGTGTGTGTGTGTGTGTGTGTGTGTGTGTGTGTGAGTGGAGTCGGGGTTGGGGTGGGGTAGGTGTTGTTACAGGTGCAGGGATTTGGAAACTAAGAAGGTTCAGTCTGAATATTTCAGGGGTGTTCATCAGAAACTAATAAAAGAATCACAATTGGACAAAATACATCACGAGGAGACCTACAATCCAAATGTGCGTAAACGCCAGGTTCTTTGAAGTTCCTGACCGTATAGGCCGAGGTCTCCTTTCTTGTCTGGTCTGTGGCTGTTCTGTTCTGGGACAAGAACATGGCGTCTTCTGTTCATCCATCAAGGCAAACACTCGGGCAGGACCGCCGCTGCCGTCCAATATTTTGGCCACCCCGACAAACACGGTCATACCACGGGGTGGCAGTTGGTCCAGGTTTGCAATGTTTTCCAATCCTGAAACATTATACCGACCAAGCGTTTGATGGACTGCAAAATTTGGTGTTCGTCCAAAGTCCGTTGACGGCGTGTCCACCCCGATGACAATGACATGTCTGTTGGTGGCTAGCCAGTTGACCGTGTCCACGTGCCAGCCAGGGTAGCGGAATGTTGAAGGGTCCTCGGTGGTGTTAGTATTGAAGACCAGGGACCGGTTGGGATATCGACGGCCCCAGTTAGAGTTCATCATAACAACTGATCCTCGAGGGATCCGACCATGAGCCAGTTCCCAGGCGGTGATGTCGCTCAGTTGGACTTGGTAGTCGGGGTTGGCTGCGGCTTTGCTTGTGACGTTGATTACCACCCCGGGCCCAACCAAACGCTCGGGGGGAATTTGATGGACTCGGGGATGACCCTGATAGAAATGTGAAGGAGCGTCCAAGTGGGTCCCGCCATGTTCGGATGTGCTGAACCAGTTGCTCTCCAACCTACATGGGCAAACAAACAAAGACGTATAAGTAAAGCCGTGGTACCTATTGAATTGTTAAATGCGAAGGATAACTCTAAATGAAACAGTGAGTGAGCATGATTTCACGACGCTTTTAGCAATATTCCAGCAATACGGCACGGCGAGGGACACCAGAAATGGGCTTAACACATTGTGCCCATGTGGGGAATCGAACCCGGGTCTTCAGCGGACACTTTACCCACCAGGCTAACACACCACCCCCTAAGTGAAACAAAAGGGAAGTTGGGGCGATGTCTCAATTACAACGTCTGCTTCCAGATCGGAGATGGGCATCAGATGGTCCAGCTCTTGCTGATTATCACTGAACTGACGTGCTGATGATGCGGAGAACATACAGACGTAGCTGATTTCTATCAGTTTGAAGCTTGTCAGTATTCCTAAGACATCACATTCCGAATCTGATCACAAATCCTGCATTAAAACCAGAGTAGAGGGCTTTCGTCACTATGGATGATGAAAATCAACAAAACTAATGGCTCATGGCGATTTGAAGACCTTATACTGTGGTGCCAGAAATAAGAATAACCCCCTACATACGTGCACGTACCATGCAGATCTGCGTGCAATGTTTAAACTGTTTCTTGTTTTTGGTTCTGAAGCCGTTCTATATCTTGCAGTCATTTTTAACAACATACCCTTCTTCTAACGACCGATTGTAGCATTTATACTTCATGATTCTACACGTCACGCCGAAGGCCCGGGTTCGATTCCCCACATGGGCACAATGTGTGAAGCCCATTTCTGGTGTCCCCCGCCGTGATATTGCTTGAATATTGCTAAAAGCGGCGTAAAACTAAACTCAGTCAGTCAGTCAGTCATGACTCTACAGCTTGTTCAGCTTGACCTGATCTACTCTACATATGCATGACCCAGGAGGTCAAATGGCACAAACGGCAGGTCGAGTTAAACTCATTAAATAGGGGAGCAGAGAATGTTAAACGGCGACCTTGTCTTGGCTGTTCGGACAAGTACAATCAACTGACAGAGATGCACCCCTTCACAATAGACCCAACCAGTTTTGACACGGTCACGCAAAGCATTAGTATTCACTTGATCAGGTCAAGCTGAACAAGCTGTACACCTTCTATGGAGAGAATGTATTTACGACGACACTAGCCCTGTACATGTGATATGAGATTGTATGTCAAGTTAACTGAGCTTCTACACACTGACCAATGGTTATCCACCTCGCGTCGCTCCAGGATGGTAAAGTTGAATCTGGGGACGCCTGGCCAATAGAGGGTGTCAATACTGCAGGCATGGGTCAAGTCGACCACCTGGCGCTGACCTCTCACCTGGGACGTCAGTAAGGGCACGATGATCCACAATGTCAACGACGACGTCATAGCTGGAACAGAATGCGCTACGTCACTGTTGATGTAGTTAGCAATTCCCATATCAAACTAGGAAAAGTTGCAGTGAGGGTTTAGAAAATGCTAAATGGCCATATTGAGGATTTCCTCCAAATGCAAATAAGGTTACCTATGTTCTAAAAAGTAAGATACAAAACGCTATAAACACATTTATATTGATGTTTGCTGGTTTACACCGCACTGACAGGCAGTGATTGAAAGTTTAACCAAAACTAATTGAAGAAATCTTCTTCCATGAAGTCTCTTGCTGAAATCCGAAAAAGTTTCTCGTGGTCTTGTTTAGACCCCCAAAATACCCTATTTTAATTCTATCGAAAAGGTTTTTAAAAGTTATAAAAAAAAGTAAATAATACCACAAATATCACAACTGTAAATGACACGGAAACTTAAGTAACTGTAATATTAAATTCCCAGTGCCACTTTTCAGCTGTATATGGCGGTATCAAGAAATATATCTTACTGCATGTGGCGTCATGATGAATAACTAAATACCCACTTGTACATTGGCAATGTACACAGACTTCCACTTAAATGCCATGTAAACATCGTCATATAAGCCTTACAAAGTTATCTCCCTTTGTCCAGCAGTTATAAGAATGCATTTGTCATTTTGAATATTATATTATGACGGCTTGTGAAAGGGGATAATAACTAAGAGTTTCTCTGCGAATATGTAGTTTTTAACCTTCTCTGCCTAACCCGAGTGAAGCTGGCGTTAGACACAACATATATTGCATGAGGTACGATCTTTGAAGCCAGTTAGTTATGCACTTCTTAATGATTTAAAATACTTTCAGATTCGTCTGAATATATGAAAATCTGGTGTTCCTTATTTATTTTATTTATTGGTAACCTTCGTTTTGAAATATTTTCAGCTTCATAACTCAACAAGAATTACACAATTGCAGAAAACTGACATCGGACAGGATCCGATGACAGTAAGGGCGAATTCAAGATTCGAGTTAGTGAATGAGTGAGTGAGTGAGTTTAGTTTTACGTCGCTTTAGCAATATTCCAGCAATATCACTGCGGGGGACACCAGAAATGGGCTTCACACATTGTGCCCATGTGGGGAATCGAACCCGGGTCCTCGGCGCGACGAGCGAACGCTTTAACCACTAGGCTGCCACTCAAGATTCGAACCCGAGATCAGTGGATTCTGGCACAACCTCACCACGTTTTGTGGCGCCTTAGACGACCGTGCAACCGATGCTTCCACAATACCACTAACACAATATTAACAGCACCCGGGGTGGGCAACATAACTCTGTTTATCCAGACGCGTACCTTTTTAATAATGTCCGGATAAACGAAATTCCGGACGAAATCCCGTGAGTTACCTCCTTGTATCTCAGTAGATAAACTTTAGTTACACAAATATGCTAAAAAAAAGTAGGGCAACCTGAACTTTCAATTTGTATAGCAAGTATAAGCGTCAACAAAGACTTTTCAAAGACAGACATCTTATGAACGCACCACCATTTCTCTCTGTCTCCACCCTAAACACAACGCATGGGATGCACATGTCCACAACGCAGTAGCCCCATACACGTGCATGGGGTGTCATTCTTGATTTTGACGGTTTTCAAGTTGGACGATATATCACTGTAGACCATTAATTTGACAATCATCTTGCATCACAGAGTTGTTAGTGTTTGTTTCCAGCCGTTTTATTTGTTTGAAAATAAAAATCGCACACATGCAAATTTCACCAATTATTTTTCAAGAGCGATTACTTTAAAACACATATGACCAAAGGGAAGTGCAACTGGCGATGCACTCTCAAAACATTCATTATTATCATATCAACATTGATTGACTCCGATATATCTCCCAATATTTTCAATCGTAAATTAAAAATGAAGTTCCCCTAGTTTTTTATAAGAGTATAATACAATATATATTCCCGTGTCCAGACAGCAACAGGTATATCAGATCGATGAACGTTTGTCCAATAGAAACACTCACCTGTCCAGCCCATGAGTGGCACTATACACGTTGCTCGTCCAACACTTACTCCACGTTTGTCGTCTACACAGCGGCTCACTTCGTTTTATTTCCTCGTGATTTGTGTAAAACATTACATTACGATAAGGAAACGGCATCAAAGTATTTATCTACAATCAGCGTGGTTATGAATTATCAAGGAAAGCATGGCGGAAGAAGAGCGGGGCGTTGGATGTTTCCGCTCTGTGACCTTAACATACCTTCAGGTGAACTTCACACAGCATGGTTTTAGCTCTGAATGAAACAAATGGTTTGCTCCACCTTTATAAAGGTTAAAGTAGTAAATGTGGTTTACTCGCGTGATGAAAGATTGTTTTAATTCTGAGATGTATGTCCTTTTTTTCAATGAATTACCCGACACTGAATGTGTGTGATATACGTGCTACTAAATTGCTGAAACAGACAGACTTCAAAGTAATATAGTAAAGAATCCGGCTGTTCTAAATTTTCAAATGTTTTTTTTTAATTATTATATTTTTATGAGTTAAGAAGCATATATATATAATTTCAAATTTAGAATCAAGCCTGATATGTAGTGAGTGAGTCTACTTTTACGCCGCTTTTAGCATTATTCCAGCAACAGTACGGCGGGGAACACCAGAAATGGGCTTCACACATTGTACCCATGTGGGGGATCGAACCCGGGTCTTCAGTGTGACGAGCCAACGGTTTAACCACCCCACCGCCCCCTGATAGGTAGCATGATGTTCCATGATATCATGATATGTACCATATATCTGTTTGAGAGTTGGTGAGTATGGTGTCACACCGCTTTAAGCATTCCTCCAAGTTTATATTGGCTGGGGGATGCTAGGAACGTGCTTCACACACTCATGAGGAGTCGGACCGGGGCGTTAATAATTGTGAACGTCTTAACCGCTAAGCTACTACACGGCCCTTTAAGCGATAGGGAATACAGTTATTGCAAGACTAGTCGGTTATGCTTAACACACACCTGTATTCCAAGTAATAAGGGGCGGTGGGGTAGCCAAGCGGTTAAAGCGTTGGCTCGTCACGCTGAAGACTCGGGTTCGATTCCCCACATGGGTACAATATGTGAAACCCATTTCTGGTGTCCCCCGCCGTGATATTGCTGGAATATTGCTTAAAGCGGCGTAAAACCATACTCACTCACTCACTCCAAGTAATAAAAGGAGAGTTAGGTAGGACGGGAGAACGCGTTGAAACTCAACTTACTAAAATTATGTTGCACATTAATCATAAACCACAGAGACAAAGCTCAGTTAAGTGCTTCATTCATTTTACAGATATGTCACTCTACTGCTTAGTCTAAGAGAGTAAGTTATTTAACATCAAACTCAGCTATATTCCAGCAACATGATGGAAGTTCGTGGTAAGTTACAATACATCAAAAGATAAGTTGGTTGGTTGATAGGTTTGGTTTGTTGTTTAAAGACGAACTCAGCAGTATGCCAGCTATATGGCAGAGGTCTGTATAGATAATAGAGTTTGGATCAGGCAATCCAGTGAACAACAGCATGCGCATCAATCTACGCAATTGGGATACAATGACATGTGTCAGCAGAAGATAAGTAGTATTCTTTCCACACAATAATTCTTCTATAGACCGATAGAATGACATATATTTTCAGATATAAAGGCGGCGGTTGGGTAGTCTAGTGGTTAAAGCGTTGCCTCGTCACGCCGAAGACCCGGGTTCGAATCCCCACATGAGTGAAGCCCATTTCTGGTGTCCCCCGCCGTGATATTGCTGGAATATTGCTAAAAGCAGCGTAAAACCAAACTCAGTCAGTCAGTCAGATATAAAGACACCTTTTTTAAAAATATACTCTTAAAGTGAACACCTACATTGAACTAGTCCCACATAAACGTATGACGATGTTTGACAGAGGGCAACATCGAACACCTACCTGTGTGTGACCCGCTACAAGAGGTTTTACTTCCTACAGATGAAAGACTGACGAAAAGAGTCTTTAATAGGCTGCGGTTTGAAGGTCAGCCGGGTCGGAAGACGAACTCACGTAATACCTAGAAGGAAGATGACTTCCGTATGTTAATCTCATATGAGGTCTTTGTCCACTGAGGTTTGCAAATGTCGCCCTCGCCTGTCAAGTCAAAGGGGGATGGAGTGACTTAAAAACATGGACATTTCTTTCTTGTAATTTCAAAAGTGCTTCATCTGAACCTGTATGTGTTTGCTCGGTGTTAAAGAAAAGCTATGCATTTAAAGGTTAAAATATGGCTTCATGTCATAAATGGTCACCTTATGAATGTTTTCATGGTTTAGTTCAAGCATAAACGTATACATTTTCTCATGTTATTTGAAATATTGAAAAATGTATTATATGACCTTAGTGGTGCAATTTATGGTCTGAGATTATATGCCGTATTTGATCAGCTTAGAAACGGGATTTGGTTTGTTTCTTATCTGACCGCAAAATTCCACCTATGTGGCGCCGTCCGTAAATAATCGAGTCTGGACCAGACAAACCAGTGATCAACAGCATGAACATCGATCAACACAATCAAGCTATGAGATGTGTCAATCAAGTCAGCCAGCCTCACCACCCTATCCCGTTAGTCGCCTCTTACGTCAAGTATGGGTAACTGAAGACCAATTCCTATCAGGATCTTTACGGGTCTTGGAAACGTGAAAGCGAATCACACTTTGACAACGCCATGGGAGCAGTCAGTCTTTGAGCAATACATCGATAAAGACAGGAAGGACAGGGAATAAGCTGTCTAAGCAATACACCCTGTTGTACCCTGAAAGCTTTGTCGGCAATGCTGACGTCTTGATTGTCAATTTCGATGCACCGCCTCTGTGGTGTAGTGGTTGGAACGTCCACCCGGAGAGTGGAAGGTCGCAGGTTCGATCCCCGGCCGCGTCATACCAAGAGACGTTAAAATATGGTACTTGTTGGTCCCTGCCTGGCGCTCGGCATTAATGGGTACAACAAGGACTGGTCGGCTCGGAGTCAGTA